CTTCTTCTTTTTTCTTTTTTCTTTCTTTCTTTCTTTCTTTCTTTCTTTCTTTCTTTCTTTCTTTCTTTCTTTCTTTCTTTTTTTTTTTTTGGCAGAACTGTGGATTGAACTCAGGCCCTTGTGCTTGCCAGGGAAGCACTTATTCTACTGAGCCATCTCCTGGCCCACTTCTTAAAATTGATTTAAAATCATTCTTGCTTGGGCTGGGGTATAGCTCAGCTATGCTGTGCGTGCCTAGCAAGTGCGAGGTCCTGAGTTCCATTCCAGTACCAGGCCCCCCACCTCAAAAAAGACCCAGGAAAATTTAAAATTATTCTTCTTTAAGTTCAGCTAAATTGGAGTGTCTTTGTTTGATTCATTTGCACACTTTCATTTTTTTTCCTTTTTATGAAATAGGTGTCAATTCTGAATCTTGAAAGATAACAACACACTTAACAGCTTTATTTTAGCCAAGGAAGAAATGATACAGAAGTTGTTAAGAATGCAAGAAAGGACTGATCTCAAAGACAGTAGCTGGGCTCTTGCGTCCATGCCTGCCCTTGCTTCCTGTTCTGCCTGTAATCCTCACATGGGCACATATGCCAAAACCTCGGGCTCTAAATAGCACAAAGAAAAAGGGACTGTGTATGCTGTCATTGCACTGAGTTTTCCTGACACAGTACTGCTTCTATTAAAGATGGTGGGATCAGTGTTCTCTGTCTAGTGCCCCAGAAGGTGACTTACCTTTATAACTACTACCTGATGCTTTCTTGCTGAAATAATCACAAATAACTCCTGCGTCTTCACTGTGACGGCAGTTGTGACGGCCAATATCTTGCTTGACGCAGTCAGCCACAGATCTCTCACTTCCGGCACACTCCACATTATCCATGTGGATGGGGCCTTTTCCTTCCCCAAAATAGGCCATAGTTCTTGCTTTGGCAGGACCCCTAGATGTGGACAGTCAGTCAGTCACACACCTGTCTAAGTCACAACAGATGCTCAAATTCAACTTTATTCTTTAAAGTTTACATATAAAAATTAGCATCTACAGGTACTAAAAATTCTTTATTCCTTTGCTGTCAAAAGTTAAAGAGAAAAAAAAATTGACTAGGTAATATGTATCCCTTCTTCATTGTCATACCCGACAGATACTTAATGGAATAAGTTGCCTCTAACTTCTGTTTAGAAAGTCTTACTGGCATGTCAGAAAATGATAGTCTTTAATCAACAGGACAAGAGATTACCCCCAAATTTTCTACCCTCTTAAAGAATATAACAACCTCTTTAAATTAGTGTAATTTTGCCAATAACTTTATGAGATTAAATAATTAGCAAGCTGGACACAAGAGCTAATTTATTTGCCTCTTTGAGATGTAAAAATTAGTTCTTAAAAAAGAAAGAACACAAAACACAAAGCTCAGCATCAAGAACAGGAGCCAGACTTTAGACATTTCTCTTGTTTACTTGTTTGTTCGCTTGTGGCAAGGTCTCACACTGGCCTTAAACTTGCTATATAGACTAAGCTGGCCTTAAATTCACACTCCTTCTGTCTCAACCTCCTACTGCTGGGAACACAGGCATGCCCCCTCCAACCTTGGTCACATATTTGCTTTAATAACACATAGTTAAGATATGCAGATGCAAACTTTTTAAAATGAAATCAACACATCATATTTAAGACTCAACCCCTAATAAATTAATGAACATTTAATTATGAAAGGCAATGTTTTAATGCTTAAGTTATAGGAAAAGTCCTAACTTAAAATCTCAAGTTAGGAAAAATATGTTGAATAAAACTTAGATAGTAAAGCATAAAAACAAAACAAAAAGTTTGATACATCAACAAAATTAAATGATGAATGCCATTTTACTAAAAAAGTATTCTAAGGAATATGAAAAGATGAGCTAAAAGGCTAATATTTATAATTCATACTTACAAATATATTTTTGGTGAATATATTTTCAAATAGAGAAAAAAAATAATTCTAATTTAAGAAAAAAAATGTAAAAACCCAAGAGAAAAAAATAGGGAAAACAAATTCCAAGAGACTAAAAGCCATTTTATTCAACAGGAAACACCAACAGCTAATTACATAAAGACAGTTTAATCTCATTAGTAATCAAAGATAAATAATAAGATACAGTAGCCACCACCAGATGAGTAACAGATTGATGAAAAAAATCACCATTGTTAGGGAGTGCGTAAGTCAGTGTCACTCCATGGGAAAGCAATCTTGCATCTCATGATAAAATTGATAGTGTACATAGCCTACTCCTGATTATATTCCCTAAAACAACTGTTAAAACCAGTGTAACTGCATAGAGGTGTAAGACAGTTCTTAATTTTTAAAGTTAAAAGTAGAAATTGTATTATTATGGTTTGAACGTATCTATCAAAACTCATACTGGTTTAATTCCTTGCATAACTCATTAAGGTAGGACCTAGTAGGTCTTCTGACATGATGGATCATGAGATCTCTGCCTTCACCTGTTTATGAAATAATAAGTTAATGGTTCTCTCAAGAGTGAATCTGTCCTGGTAGCATGATTGACTCTTTCTCTTTTGAAATGCATCCCTCTGTGTGATGTTCTGGACCACTGCAGAATCCTCACTAACAAGAAAGATCTCAAAAGATGGGCACCTCTACCTTTTGGCCTCTAAAACTGTGTGCTGAACAAACTTTTGTTCTTTATAAATTATATTCAACCTCTGGTATTCAGTTACAGCTACAGAAAATAGACCCCAAAAGGTGTATGAATGGCCCAGCATCAATACAGTAAATAAATATCGCTCTTCATATGATTTAATACTACAGAGCAAAAAGGGAAGTAAATTACAGCTAATTGTATCAAGTAATACTGAAAAAATGTCCCTAATTGAAGACCATAAGTATAACTGCCTACTTTCAAAATGAGATTTTAAAATATAGAAAAAACTACTGTTTAAGGCCATGATTTGCTCTAAATTATGAAAATTGCAATGGAACAGCACCAAATTCAAGGTAGTGTTTACTTTGTGATGGTGGAGTTAGGAGGGTGGGATTGACATATGAAGAGCTTAAAGGAAAGATCCTATTTCCAAGCTCAGCAGAAGAGACAGAAGTGGCTTGTACAGTCCTGTGTAGTATGCGGACAGCTGTATGTATGCAGGAATAAATTTTAACATACAATTACAAGGAGAAAAGTAACTGTATGTACTTCCTGTATAGATCAATAAACTATATTTTATTCATGCATTTTTAAATGGATACCTAAGAGGATCACATCACTGTATGTTCCACTGGATACAAAAGAATGATGTAATTGTTATTTTAAAGATCACACATAAATGCATCATAAATGAAATGCTTTGCACATATTTCAATTTAAGATCTAAATTAGATATACTCAATTTTAGATCTCTACTAAAGTATTAGGGTACATCATTTCAAAATTCTTTTAAAGAACAGACTCCGGTAGCTATTATTCCTCAAGAACAATGCCATATTGAAACATATTAATAGAAAGTTCAAACAGAATGGAATTTCTATCATGGCTGTTTAGTCTATCTCAGTGAATTTAATTGATCTCAACACTTCTCTGTCAGCCCTATAAAAACACTGCTAGACTTGGTCAGACATTATGTAATACATCATTAACCGATATCTTCTACTTTTCTGCTCCCTCTAACCATATCATGTTACTTCCCATTCATGTTTCCTGATTTGTATTATCTTATTTCTGTTTCTCCCATTACAAAAATGCTTTCTAATGTTATCTTGATCCTCAGTGTTTCCAAAGACCAATCATCAAGCACGATGTAGCTCAATGAGGGGCGAGAGCACTAGAACTGGGATCACTTTAACAGTTTAAAAGTTGTCCAGGTTGATTTCTATAAATCAATGCATTATTAAATAGGCATGGAGAAAATGATTCTCTGCTCTAGTCACATATGTGTTATTAAATGGTTTTTTTTTTTTTTAATGTCTGGAGGAGCTTCCACACTGTTTTGCATTGTGACTGCATCAGTGTACATCCCTACCAACAGTGCATGAGGGTTCCAGTCTCTCTGTGCCTTTACCCACACTTGTCACCCTTTGCTTTTGTCTGTCTGTTTTGTTTTGTGTTCTACATTGCCATCCTAACATCAGTCTAAATTCAGACTTGAGTTGAATGTTAAATGGATTAAACAATAACCTCCCCAAAACCCAATGGAAAGGGTCAAAAGAAACAATGTATTAATAAATATGTATGGGAACATCTTCTGGCCTTAAACTTAACTGAGACACAAAATTTGGAATCAAATTTGGTGCCCGTCTTTTGCTTCATTTTTCCAAAGGTAAACTAGTTACCTTGGATCACTGCCAAGGAGCAAAAGTATAGGTAAGAAGCCAGTCAAACAGCAGCATCTGTTAATGTAAAGGTTTAGGAAAGGAAATGTACTGGAATGTAATGCAAGAAAAAAATTTGTATTTTTTCAAATGGAGGAAGGAATAATACAGCATAGCATATATAAAATAAATCTCTGACTAAATTCACCTGTACACCTAATGTAGACAGACTGTCCCTGTGTTCTTCCCTCAACTGTTCCTTTTTTTATGTATTTAGTACAAGATCTCCATGGTCTCACTAAAAACAGATCAGACTCATAGCAATCCTCCTATTTTCAGCCTCTCAAGCTCTGGGATTATAGGCGCAGCCACCACTCCCAGTCTCAATCTCAGCGTGCCCCAGGGGCGAGGCCAGCATGGCACACTCAGGATCAAACCCAGTCCCTGCATCGGCCTAAGAAGGTGCTTTAATCCACTGAGCTATCTGGCTGGCCCTAACAATTCCATATTTTGAAAACTGAAAATCTATATCAAATTGACCCTAAAGGTAACTAGAATTGAAACTGGGTCTAAAACTGGAAAATAAAATGAAATAGTAACTGACTTTCCAAAAGCAAAATTTGAATTAAAAGTTTACCAAAAATATTTGCACTTTTGTTAAAATAGAAAAACTTTTAAAAGTAAAAATATATTTTACCATAAATAACCAATTAAATTGATCAATGTTTAAGACAGTACACATAAATATATAATTATGGATGTATTTTTAAACCAAACCATTATTTATTACTATGATCTAGGCAGTTAGGTATATCAGCTTAAATCTCATAAAATACATAGCTTTTCCATATTTGTCTAACTCCAAAAATTTCACTGTCATTCACGACCATTTGTAGGGCCATGTAAGAGAACTGTAAGGCACTCAGCTGAGGTCTAATAAGGAGATGATCTGCCTTCTGTTTCAGATCTCAGATCTTCCTTTTTTCTTGTTTTAAACTGTACCCAAGTGTCCTTTCCAATCTACGTAGTACCACAGGTTCTAGCTATAACTGAAGCGTGACAGAGGCTGATTCACACTTACATTTCCTCCACAAGGTGCACCCTAGCCTTCCTGCACTAAGGAACACGGCACAGCACTTCCACACCACACTCACAGACTCTTTCATCTTACACACATGCACAGGATGCAGAGAACACGAAGGCACTGAGTAGATTGTGCCGAAGGACAGTGTAAGAAGCAGAGCGCTAACCTCAGCCTTCCAAACAACAGCTTAATCCTTGCTAATTTTGTGTCCACAGTGACTTTCTGGAATGTAACCACTGCTGAGTAATAAGAACTACTGTAATTTCAATAATCTGTACTTCCTTAAAAGGCTACAGTGTTCAACCATAACTCACAGGGAAAAAGTTAACACCTTTGGCTGAGAGAACCAGTATTATGAGTAGTCTCAGTTACTATATTCTTTTTATTAGATAAAAAGCTACAGATCTTATGTGGAATAATGTTTCTTGAAAGAAAGATAAGAGAGGGCAGGCCAGATAGCACAGTGGACTACAGTGCCTCCTTAGGCAGATTGCAGGAAATGGAATTCAATCTCCAGCACTGCATGCAGTGCCAGCCCCACCCCCAGGACGTGCTGAGATGGGGATTGAGACTGGGTATTCTGGCACTCACCTGTAATCCCAGTGCTTGGGAGGCTGAAAACAGGAGGATCACTACTGTCCTCTACTTAGTACTTCTTTGTAATGCTGAATAAAGCCAGCAAGCTGCAAGTATTTTAATGGAAGGAAAAAAAATCCAAAAAACTAATTTTGGGCAAGGAGTAATCATTAGAAGCCATTAAAAAACCCACATTTTCATCAAGCAACCATGGCAAATAATTGTTTTCCTTACTTGTAACCAAGCTGTCGACAGATCACAGCTGCATTCTTATCAGTCCATCCGTCATCACAAATTGTTCCCCACTGGCCATTGATAAAAACCTCCACTCGTCCTTCTTTTTTATTTTCTCCATCCATGAGTCTTATAGGAAAACCTAAATGATGATTCAAAGGTGTTAGAAAAACCAAAGCAAGTAAACTTATACTAAAGCATAAGACACTACAAAATATAATCATTATTTTAAATCACTTATAAGTGGAACATTTGTTCTTAAGAGGGAAAGAGAGAAAAGAGGTATCCATAAAAAATTGCAGCCACTTTTGCCTAGCTTTGCATCCTCAACATTTGCAACAGTAGCTGGCATATAGATGATATGCATTACTGTTTTGTGAATGAATGACACTATCAAATAAAATGATTTTATTATAACTTTAAAAATAGTGCAAAAATATTACCTTAGAATTTTCTGTTTCATATCTTTCTAAATCCATAAATAACCAGAAATTTATTCCCTTCACCAAGATTTTTAGGAAGTTGTAAACAGATACAATATTGGTGTACATACGTTACCTTGAGTGGGTCTCAGTTGAATATTGATTCCAAGTCAAAAATCACTAAGATACGAAAACTAAGTAACATCTCTAGTATGCTGGGGTTCAAATTATGCAAATGAAGTAGCTCATAGAATATCATGTGTCTCTAGCCTCAGCACTAAATATGGTGGTGTTGCATTTAACACCTTTAGTGAGATTTGTGTACGTCCTGGGTAGACCCGAGAGCATATGGTGGAGCCTAATCCAATATAATAATTGTCCTCACAAAAAGAAGAAATGTGGATATAGTTTAACAGAGCAAGAGGAAGATCTGAAGAAGCACAGGGAGAAGAGTCCTAACTTTAAGCCAAGAACAACGCTGGAACACATTCATCCCCCAGCCCTTCCTGCACAGTTCCTTCTCTAGGAAGCACGCCTGATGAGTCCTTGATTTTGAATTCCTAGCTCCAGAAATGTGAGACAGTAAATATCTATGCTTAAGCCACTCAATCCATGGGACTTTGTAGAACTATCCAAGCAAATAAACACTCATTTGATTACCTAGTTGCTGGAAGGGTCTCCCGTACCAGGAGAGTTTACTGGTAAGACTTTAGGAAATAAAATGAAGCACGGTAAAATTATCAGATGGTGGAAGCAGGCACCTAATGAACAAAATATCACCTAGTATTTGTTTAAGCCAACACATAAAATTACTAAATTCATATTTGTAAACTAAAACAAAATTGTTAGCAAGATGAACACATCCTATTCTGATTTCTCAAACTAACTTTTATTTCGCTGTATTCTGCCACTCTCAGAGTTTCTGTGCTAGATTCCATGAACTGCTTATACTAGTTTTAAAAAATTGGATTTTAACTGTCAGAAGACATAGGATATTTGAAACTATGCATCTTTCACTAATAAATATTCCATTTAAGGTTTCTTCACAAGAGAAGCAAGGAGAAAAATGATTGTTAAAAACCAAATTCAAACTAATCAAACTCTTTTCCTAAAATTTTATAGGTTTCGATTTTTGGTTTAGAAGTTAAGACAGTACATGCACATGGAGTGAAATCATTTTCATTTTGGTTGGTTTTTACATACTCTAAAAATACAATGATAAAATAATTTTGAGGCTAAATAGCATACTTCATAAACATAATGAATAAGATAGTTCTGTTACTAATTTTAACCATCCTACAAAATCATTGGTCTTTCAATTCTTGAAACTGGATGACACAAAGTCATTCTATGCATACACTCTCATTACTCAAATCCTTTTTTAGGCCAGTAATAATAATGATATATAGTATACTCTTTTTCTAAACTATTAAATAAATATTCAATATTTGGGGAGGCTTAGAATGCCAAAGAAGCAAAAAAAAAAAAAAAAAAAAAAAAAAAAAAAATGAAAAAAAAAAAAAAACCTTGTTTATATTATTATTATGCCATAAGGGGCAAGGGAGATGGCTCAGTGAAATAAGCACTTCCCTGGCAAGCTCAGGGGCCTGAGTTCAATCCCTGGTTCTGCCAAAAAAAAAAAAAATCCTATATTATTATACCATGGCCTCCTTCTATAAGCTTTTCATTGCAATATACAATATTTTCAATAAGTGAAAGACACTGATCTATCTGAATGAATATATGATAATATGATTCTCTCACAAAAGATTTTTGGCACAGACATAATGTTCTTTGAGCAAATTACTTTAGCTAACAGACACATTACTGAGATTAGAACAAAAGAGATTCATAATAATGGTCACATATTTTATTAATAATTCTCACCTATGACTTTTTAAATTTTTGAAATCATGTGCAGAATCCTAGAATTAAAATGCTTTTCTGAACTGCACAAATTAGTTGTCCTAATTGTATGATGTACAGCAGACGCCTCTGCTGTACATTTTTTTTTTTTTTTTGACAAGAAATACTGACTGAGCATGTCTGGAAAGATCGCTCCATGATCCAAATACATGCTACCAGAGATCAAGAACATACATTTCTAGGAAACTGGTTCTGTCTCCACTAACCATGTGCAATCTTTCATCAGATAATCCTGGAAGGATTATAAATCGTCCACATGAAGAGGACTAATCTGCATAAGAAGAGAACAAGTTAAAAGAAAGGAAATTGGAAATATGATCAACAAAGAATAAACTGAAAAATTATACTTCTTCTTTAAATAATGCTAGATTAGTTTGATGAGTCACCATAACCCCAATATTTAGAAGAAATAGCCATATACATATTTTGATAAATTGTAAGTATGGAATGTGACCAATACCATGTGCTTCAACAAGTTTCATTGTTTTGTGTCTATATTTTCAGCTTCACAATTGTAAAATAGGAAGATACAAGATAAACTGATTGAATCCTGAGGTTAAAAAGACCATCTAATGACTATTTTAATATCTATTTACACATACACCAAATGCATGTGTGAGAGAGTCTCCTGCCAAACATTATGAATATTTCCCTCTGCATTTTTCACTCATATTTATTCTACCCTCCTAATCATACATTAGGAACTTACCAAGAGTGTTTATTTATTTTTTTATCTTATTGAGAAACAAGTATCAATGAGACACTTTCCAAGCTGATTAATAGGACATTTTCAATAATTAATACATTGCACATTTCAAGAATGTTTTATAAGAGGATCCTTATCTGTAATTTTTTCCAGACTACCAGGACCATTTATCCAAATACAAGTTTAAAAACATTCATAACTGAGGAGCAGGAAGTGTTCCTGATGTGTTTCTAGATGACAGCTGTTATGACTTGTGTCTAGTTGTGCTCCCAAAGTCCCATGCCCTTAGGAGAGTAGTGGCTTCAGACGTGGCTAGATCTACAGGGTGTGGTGTTGAGATTAACAGTGTGTGGTTACTAAATGAGTCTACTGATGCTTTGGCATAGGTCCGGCTAGGATTAAGGTGTGAGTGCTATACCTGCCCCAGGGCAAATAACCTACAAAAAATATGAGACAAAAAGAAGGCTAATGTGTTTCTCCTGCCAGCTTGCTGTGGACTATTTGTTCTCCATAATGCCCCTCTGCCTTGCCTCCTTGTCTTGGAATTAGCCAACTATGGCCTGAAACCTCTACAGCCTATGAGCCAAATAAACCTTTCCTCTTTTAATTTTGAGTAGTCATTATATTTTTTTATCAGCAATAAGACACTAAGTCAGAATTTGGTACCAGAGAATTGGGGTCATTGCTCTGACTGTAAATGAGCAGGTAGTTCAGAAGCATTTAGAATTGGCTTATGAAAAGTCTGGAAAGGTTCAGAGATGCCAGCTGAAAAAGCAGCCCTGGGATCCCTGAGACTGTACTTGATAGAAGACATAGGTCAGAAATCAAAAGACCAAAATGCTGGTATAATGCTGACAGTAAAGACAATTTGGGGGAGGTTTGTGTTGGGAAGAACTGCACTGGCTGTTGGACTCCAGAACGTATACGTTATGCCTTGTCAAAAGTTTGTCTGCATTTCACACATGTCCAGAGACTTTGTCTAAGACTAAGACTAAGGGCAGCAAACTAATTAATCTTGTAGAAGAAATTTCAAGAGAGCCTAATGTTAAGGCTGTGGCGTGGATGCTTTGCGAGGCTTTTAGCCAAGTCTACATTGAAAACCAAGTTCAAAGAAAGCAGCAGAATGACTCAAAACATTGTAAGTTATGCAAGAAAGAAAAGTTGTGGCCTACAAGGTCTACAGAAGAGAAATTGATCGCTAAAAAGACTAACAAGAAAAGGCCAGATATTTCAGAAGACAAATGAAAAGATGTCCTGAGGACAACAAAACAACTAGCAAGATACCAGATTTTAGAGCCACAGATTTACAAAGGTGAAATACTGCTTTGAGAGGAAAGCCCCAGAGCATCATGTTCCAGAATGTAGTGGCATACAAAATTTGTTCCTTAGACTAGGTTCAGAGAGTTCAGTAATTCAAATACTCAACCCTTACTGCCAAGAGAGAAGGAAGCCTGGCTACTGCTCCAATTGGCAGCAGATCCTAGTGTCCTTGAGCTATTGCTGAATTTAGGTGCATGCACAATGCAAGAGTTACAGGGCCAAGAAGGCTTCCACCCAGATTTCAGAAGAAAGCCTGGGAGGTCAGACAGTGTGCCCCTGAAAGGGCAGTGTGTAAGACCAAAGATGCAGTGGAGACCCCAGAAGTTAAGAGAAGCAGGGAACTTGGATCATCTGAGGAAAATTACAAGGAGGGAGCAAAGCTAGAGAAAAAGAGAAGCCTTGGGAGCTCCATCCACCAGAAGTGCTGTAGGAGCCATCCAAGCCTTTTGGGGTTCACATCTTGCCACAAACTGAACTGGATGTTACACATGGACCTACAGGACTTAGTATTGTCCTATTGGATTTTGAACTTGCTTTGTTTTGCTCCCATCCCTTTGTATCACCCTTCTTGTACCTTGGAAATGTCTATCTTGTGCCATTGAATGCTGGAAATGTTTAACTTTATTTTCATTTGTACAGGCGCTTACAGCTATGAATTTGCCTTAAATCTCAGAGGAGACTTTGGACTTGAACTTTTCAGAAATGGTAAAACTGTTAGGAGTTTGGCAACTCACACAGATAAACTATATACCTTTTGGATAAAGGGATGTGCATGAATCTATGGAACTAGGAGCAGAATGTCATATCTTGTGTCTAGAGATTCTCCCAAAGCCTTTGGCAGTCATAAAGGGATTTTTTGAGAGGAGGCTGTATCTAGAGTGTGTGGTGCTTGGATCAAGACTGTGTGATTAGTAAATCAGTCCACTGACCACTTTGGCATGGCTCTGGCAAGGATTAAAGGTGTGAGTGCCACACCGGCACTAGGGTGAGTTGCCTGCATAAAATATAAGCAGAAAGCAGGTCAATGTACTCTCTGATACCTGCTTACTGTGGACTACTTCTCCCCTGTATGCTCTCTGCCATGCCATATTGTCTTGGAGTCAGCTGTCTACAGACCAAGACCTCTACAAACTGTAAGCCAAATAACTTTCTTCCTTTAACCTGAGGTGTTGGGTATTTTATTGTAGCAACAAGGAAAGTCACTAAGATGGCAGTGTATGTCAGAAAAATGAGTGAGCTGTTAACTCCACTGAATCCAGTGAGGAATATGCAAAGCAACAAATGGCCAGTGGCAGAGATTGAACACAAGACTATAGAAGAAAAAAATCAAGAGATGAGGAAAGCGAATATTCTTTTCATACTATTTTGGTCCTGTCTCAAATAGTTCATTGGAATTCAAGAGAAATAAATGTTAGATTAAGAGACTAAGGAGTAGTGGAATGGATACTGCAGTTTCTTCCACCTTTCAGGCAGCTGTGAAACAAATATTTTTAGTAGGAAGTTTGAGTTCTTAAATAACAAAAATCAAAATTTAGAGACAGAAATTGCATGACACTAATGGACTCGAAGATTGTTTTTCATAAAAAACCAAAGATGAGAAATGCTTCCTATTCCAGATCAACAGCTAGAGATGCAGCAGCTACTGAACAATGGATACTTAAGAGCTGCAGCCAGCCCTCACCTAGAGAGACCTTCTGCCCATCGCTGCCAGGGTAGCAGGCGATGCCCACATCTTCCCGATGGCTGCAGTCATGCTTTCCCCATTGTCTCCGGGAACACTGAAGGAAACTGGTTTCTTTTCCTGAGCAGCTCACATCATCCAGCCATATAGGCCCTGGGCTTTCTTCAAAATGGTTTGGAGAGACTTGTTTGCCATACCTGCAGTAAAAATGTAAGTGTCATGCACGGAACTGTTGTATTATGCTTCGAGTAACCATAAAACCGTCTAATACAGTGTCAGAACTTCAGAGGGTATTTGCATCTTCTCTTACCTTGGAGCCTCAGAGCTGTGTTTGTTTCACCACACATTTTAATTGTCCTAATTTTTTTATTGATTCAGTGAGTAACATCTGGGTAAATCATTCCTGCATTTTGTCTAACGTTTACCCTACCGGCCAGAGATGATGCAGACAATGAGCTAAACCTCAAGTTCCTGACAGTGGAGGTAACCCTGTGAACCACGGAGGGAGAAGAATTGTTTAATTTTGGTCCCTGATGAGCTATCTGAGCTTACCTCATGTCATTGGCTTCTCTAGGCCTTTTTAGGAACTTCTCTAAATTGAAGTGTGTGTTTTAATTTAGGAATTTGCTCAAGGAAAGTAGCCAATCCCTGATACAAATCTGGATTTCTAGCCATTAAATTCAAAATAATGACATCGTTCTTAGTATTTCACAGTGATACAAATTCAATGCTTACAAATTATTCTTGTGTTTCCATTAACTTTATTCTATCTATGATATATGTGTTATAATAAATTATAAGTTGTAAAATAGGAAAGATCTGCCTTTGGGTTTGATCTAAAAGGTCCCCTAAAAGGTTCGTGTGTTCAGTCAAAGGTGCAGCTTTTGGAAATCTGATAGGATCATAAAAGTTCTAATGTCACCAAGTAGATGAATCCATTCATGAGTACACTGGCTGAAAAGGCTTATTAGGAGGTGGGGCCTAAGTGAATGACACAGGTCCCTGGAAGGTGGCCTAGAAGCTATAGGCTGATCACAGTTTTCCTCTCAATGTATATAGAAGAAAAGCTTAATGGCTTTAAGATGCAAAATAAATACAATAAGGAGAAAAATATCAGTACTATTTGATTCTTAATACAGAAAAAATGTCAAATGACATTTCCTGTAAATACAAGGTACAAATATTTGCATAACAGATTCATTTAAACATAAGATGACATTTATTAGTTAAATTAAATATCAATAAATTTCATTAAATTAATTTAATGTCAATATGTATATGTTACATCACATCTTTTGACCTAATTACTTTTATGACTTCTCTGCCCATGAAAAACTGAAAATATGGGGCCATTATATACATTTATATATTTATGTTATCATTATTTATAACTAAGCAAGGGAAAATGAAATATTTTAACCTAAAAAGCTAATCTGAATATTAAGCAAATAATGGCATGACTATTCAATATATATTACTTTACCATTAAAACTTATGACTGGGTAGCAATATAAAAGTAAAAAACATGAATATAAAATTCTTATGTGCACAACTAAAGCTGATATAAAGGCAAAACTTGAGATTTGAAATACCACAATTAAATTCTAGTGAAAAAACTCTTATATACACAATTTTACTGCAAAGCCAGCTTGGGTTTGCAAAGTTAGGTGCTGAGAAGGAAGACATGGATGGGCCCTCAAAAGCCGGTCAAGCTAGAGGGGAAACAGACAATTCATGACAGAATGTATGTATGCTACACTAGTACAAAAGTGGAAAAATTGTGGGTAGTTATTCAATTTTCTTTTTTCCAAACTTTATCTGCTTTATATTACTTTAATGAATGCCTAAACTTGGCTTTGCTCAGGCTAAACAAAAGCATATTTTTAAGGTTTAGAAAATATTTGTACTTAGCTCAAGCTGAAATGAAGTAATTTCGCCAATTTTTTTCAAGCGTGAGAATATTACCTCAAACATTATGTCGAAATATGGAAAACAAAAATGAATGGGCCTTCATAGACGTCATTCAAAAATTTAGTCATCATTCAAATATTTAGCTCAAAGGCATTATTTACAGTTACTTTGCTCTGGAATACATTATGCATGTGGCATGAAATACATCACCCAAAGTTTGATACTCAGCTGCTGAGTGAATGAGGTTAAGGGCAAGTTCTAAAGGTCATCTCATGACAAGAGAGCTGTTTTTCTCAAGTAAGAGTGACAATTATCATCCCATTCTAAGAAAGGAAATAGCGTAGTACCAAACAATTTAACACCAGACTATGCTGCTATTTTAGAACCAGTGATGTCAAAACTAACAACCTCCCTTGGGAGTGATGTCTGAGAATGAACTCAGCCATTCAGAGTCTCACTTGAATAGGACAAAGGACCTACAAGACACCCCTGGCTTTATCCAAGTATTCATCAGTGCTTCCAGTATTCAGGAAGAGCACTGACAGTAAGAAAGGTAAATGAGATAAAGGGCCAGAGGTTGTTTACCATCTTAGAAAATGTCACTGATTTGTTGTTGCAAATCCATACATAGGTAGGAGGTTGGGTAGGTAGGTAGGAAAGCAGGTGGTAGACAGAGGATAAATGGAAACAAAGAAAACATGTGTTTTAGTATTCCGAACTTATAATTCAGGGTTAATTACACAATAAGACTTTTAAAGGTATAACTTGGCATTCAGCTGCCTCGTTTCAATGAATCTTACTTAAATCCCAGCTGCCGACAAGCCATGTAAGTATTGAGCTCAGTCCAGCCATCGTCACAGACAGTGCCCCACTGTCCCCTGTAGTACACCTCCAAGCGCCCCTCCTGGCTGCCTTTCCCACCTGCAAGCCTGATGACCCCATCTGCAATATGAAGGAGACACCAGGACTAAGCAAACCAAGTCTGAAAACACACAACAGAACATTAGCATTTGACCAGAGGCACTGCCATAGCCCCCACTTGACCTTTGTTAATCTTACCACTGTACCCAACAGCCTGAGGTCGCTACCTTGCTTCTGAAGCTGGCCACAACATATATCTGTCCTAACACTTATATTCCTACTCTGTGAGTGGAAAAAATCCTGATAAAATGCCAAAGAATCTACATTGATTTTTGTAGATTAAAATAATATTGAGAAAATTTCGCATAACTTCAGTCTCTATAAATCTAAGCAATGCAGATTATATACATTTAAAAAACAAGAAAACATAGTAACTTCAGAATTTTAACTGCAAATAAAAATTACTGGAATATGAAGACAAAAAAATACTCTGGATAAAGAATAATCTATTATGTCAGTACATTTATTATTCTCTAGGCATTCATGAATTATAAAGACTGGAGTACCTGCCTTGCCTTTGTTCTTTTATTGATAATACAGATCTGAAATTTGAATCTAATTAATCAATGAATAATTAATTTCCAGAGAATTCAATAAAAAGATTCTAAGTGGAAGCACAGTAACATAAATTTCATTTTAAAAAATAAATTCAAAAATCATTTCCTTCTGAAATAATTCAACCGCTCTGCCTCCATAAAACAAATAATTTGGATAAAGGTCATATTTTTATGACTCTGGGATCTTCTAAAGCAAATAAATGTCTCATAGAAACAACCATTTGTTAATAATAAAATATTTTACTATCTGGAAGGCACCAGCACACATATTACCTCATCTGACCATCCTAGCAATAATACAAGACTATCAGCCTTTGAAAGAGGAGGAAGTGCAGTTCCAGAGAATAAAATGCTCTAGCTTAACTCAGCATAAATTATAAATTTCTATTGTATATAAATGTCTTATTCTGCTAATAAAAACACATTGTATAAATTCAATATTCTGTAGGCCCGAAGAAGATAACCTTGATTTTTCTTAAAGTAAGATTAGATAACATCTTTCCTCAAGTTAACTTTGACATAGAAACAATGGGTTGTGTGTGTGTGTGTGTGTGTGTGTGTGTGTGTGTGTGTATGAGATAGCTTGGATAATTGTACTGCTGATTTCTGCTCATCTCTTGAAAGGAGAAGTTAATGCTTAAATTATTTTCCTTCTCCTTTTTAACTTTTTATAACATTTTAGAACCAATTTTTGCATGCTTATATGTGGTAAGGTAAACAATTAATTTTAAGACATTATGCAGTGTGACAATCATTGTTGAATTTCTATTATTTTAAGTTTCCATTATTTCTATTATTTTGTTTCTAATTTTTATTACTTTTTATTCTCTTTAAAAAAGAAAAAAGAAACAAGTAAAAAAGTAACAATGGATTTGTGATGTTGCAACTTCATTCATAGTTTTTCTTCTTCCCTCTAAGCTTGTAAATTCATACAGATATAACAATTCATATTCAGACATTCCATTCTTATAATACATAACCTATATGGACAGGCATGTTACAATTTGGAATTGTCAGAAAATCACAACAAAGCTAACTTGCTGTCTTTAACAGTGTACTTTAATCAATAATCACATCAATACAGTTTTATGCATGCAATAAACATTCAGACAGTAAGACCAGTTAATAGATGAATTAGCTAAGCATGTAATTAGAACACACAATATCTGAAATTTATCATTGCACATTGGTTTTGATTACTATGTACTACATATTGCAACAAAGTCATTTTATGACTAGCTTTATAGAAATGTCTGACCTGAAACTGCAAAATTCAGAAACATCCTAGAAGAAGGAGGTAACATTTTGATATAGCTTATATCAGATATGTTTGGTTTTAAATACATGGTTTCATTTAATATATCTGTTTGAATGTTCTTTTGGTAATACTATGTGAATCAAGGAGAAAGAAAGGTGTAGCAAGTCCAAATGGTGTTTGGGGTAGGGTTGGTAATTTAAGGAGGTGAAACCCTTACCTGTAAGGGGAGTGCAGGACACCCCAGCATCTTCTTTGTGATTGCAGTTGTGCTCACCCCACGAACTCTTTGGACACTGCTCAATTGAAAGTTCATTCCCAGTGCAGTGTACTTCATCCAGCAATATTGGGCCAGATCCTTCCCCAAAATATGCCTGATTCCATGCTTTGGCAATGCCACTGAGTAAACAAAAGAACATAAAAATTCTGGACTCAACACCAAAGGTTGGTTTGACTTACTGTATTTTTTTGTTTATTTGCTTCTGGTAGATACATATTAATTAACTCCCCCTGAAATAATTCTCTCCATTAGCCATGCATGACATTGTGTATTTTATTTACACTTGTTTGCTGTTTTTTGTATTTCCTGCCACTGCGCATGTTTCAAAGACTGGCAGGCAGTCCCAGTATTTGCCTGCCTTTTCTTCATCAGTAATGGAACTTCATTTGTCCATTTGTTTTGTTCATTTTATTTTGTTTTGGTTTGGTTTTGGTGGTACTGGGCACTGAATCTAGTGCCTTCATACTGAGCTACATCCTTTTTCTTTTGACATAGTCCTGTTAAATGGGCCAGGTTGGGCTCAAACGCACAATCCTCTTGTCTCAGCCTCCCAAAGTGCTAAGATTAAAGGGACATGCCACCACACCTGGCTGGAATCTCAGATTTTGGAAAAGCTAATCACTGTCCAAAATAGAGACCACATTTCCCAGCCTCCTCTCCCTCTAGATAGATGACTGAGTTTGTTTGTGGTAAAACATATATAACATAAAACACACAATTTCAAGCATTTTTAGAGTATAGTACATTAGTACACTCACTGTATAACCATCAGCATCATCATTCCAAAACTGTTGTCATCATTCCAAAGCAAAACTGCACCATGCCTTGCTTTTACCAATTATATTTATGGAGAAAAGTGCCAGATTCACTTCAGGTATGGCCCTGCTCACTTCTTCCTTTCTGCTGATCCTCCTGGGTAGATCTTGTGAAGCTACGGTGGGCCATGACCTCTCACGTGGAGGCCAACAGAACCTCAAGCAAGAAGAAGCTCAGGGCCCTTATGACTTGACTACAGAACCATCAATATATCCTGGAACTGGCTACCTTGAGTTTCTTAAGAGAGGGATAAACTCATCTAAATTTGTTTAAGCCACTGTTATCTTCAGTCCGCTGTTGCTTGTAGTCAAACTTATTCTCAACAAAAGCATTTTCATCCAAATGTATTCATGGTGAATTTACTTCTCATACAAATAATACCGTGCTCTAGGACCCTGGATTTCAGTGAAGATGATCACAATCGTTGCTGACGTGATTAATGACTTTAAGAGCTGCAAGTTAGCCCCTTTTCACCTTTGAAATTTTAGACTATGACATTTTAGTTTTAAGTTTGTCTTTCAATGATATTGCATCTGTATCCTATTGTTTTATGTGCCTATTTTTCACAATATTATAATTATATTGAAAATTTACAATCAAAATACATTGAAAGAAAAATACTGGCTAAATGATTGTAATACTCCAGAAATGGTAGTTTTGGATAATGAACTTTGTGACTAAAAATGAATTTGCCTGACTAATTTTAGTAGATACTATGGAAATTTCTTTTAAGAGAATACATGTCTAAAAATATCAAAACATTTCAGGGGCTGGGGAGATGGCTCAGTGGAATAAGCACTTCCCTGGCAAGTGCAAGAGTCTGAGTTCAATTCCTGGTTCTGCCAAACAAACAAACAAACAAAAAACCACAAAAAAGAAAAAAATTCCAAAGTTAAAAGTTAATTACCTTGAAAACAAAAGTTAAGGAATGCTTATTCCATTATCACCTGGCCCATTCTGTTTAAAATTTGGAAAGTGTGCAGGGGGAAGGATAAAGTAATATTTATAAGAAGAGGTAGGAAAGAAGCTGAAGGAAAAAATGTGCTTTCCTTTCCTGCTTGAGCAGGATAATTGTATAGAGTCAAATTTTAACATTCAGAATCTTAACACTTAAATCACTAACATTTGTGGAACAGTGGGATCTCTGTAGTCTGTCCCTAAAGATATCAAAGAATAATATCTAGATAGTTAGATAAATGTGATCCAGACAGTAAAGAAATGCTATCCAAATTATACTGTCAAAATAGCTTAATTTCATGAGTGAATTTGTTTTTGTAGGGGTGATATAATGACAGAATGGTTGATCCTTGTTGCTCTTTAAATGCTGGGAGGAAAACCCCACATCATAGTTCCAGGATGGGGAAGGGAACCCATCATTTCCACTCCATTGGTTAAAAAGAAATAAATGTTTCATTAATAGAATTATTTTAGGGCTGGAAAGATAGCTTATGGTCCAAGAGCAAGGACCTGGGTTCAATCCCTGGCACTGCATGTTTTGCCATACTGGGCACTGATCTGGGCACTGAAACCAGGTATGGTGGGGCATGCCTATAATCCCAGTGCTGGGGAAGCTGAGACAGGAGAATTACCATGAGTCTGAGCTGCAT